CTAATTGAAGCTTAAAATACTCGGATTTTTTTTGTCAAGTTCATATTGGCTATCCTCACAATGGCCGACACAAACGCCCCCAAAGGACTTTCCAATAAGCTCCAAAACAAGCGCAAGAGACAAGCCGACGAGGCTGCTCCCAAGGAAGAAAAGCCCGAGGCAGGCACACCCGCAGAGGGATCAAGCAAGAAGAAGCAGAAGAAGAACAAAAACAAAAAGAAGCAGGCTGAACATGATGAGAGTCAGTCAACGCGCAAAGACGGCATTGACGAGTCCATTGGCAAGATGGACGGCCGGTTGTTGGGCGATTACTTTGCGCAGAAAGCCAAAAGACATGATAAAGAGCTCTCTGCTGTTGAACTGAGTGATCTTTCGGTCCCAGGTATGTATAATTCTATTGTTATGTCGGCCAATGCCGAGGGGTGTTCTAGACATTAACAGATCTATAGATTCCGCATTCCTTGATACCTCTTCCTTCGCCTCCACCCGCAAGCTGGAGCAACTCCCTGAATTCCTCAAGTCGTTCAGTCCCAAGGGCTCCGACCTATCAAAATCATCCGAGAAGAACGGCACCCCCCATACACTAGTTATTTCGGGTGCTGCTCTGCGAGCCGCTGATGTTGTACGGTAAGTGGACAGCTTCCAATATTTTCTGTGGTATGAGTCGAAGCTGGAGCTGACAATTGATGTTAATAGGGCACTGCGTTCTTTCCAAACCAAGGAGAGCATTGTAGGCAAGCTGTTCGCGAAGCACATCAAGCTGGAGGAAGCGAAGCAGTTCCTTCAGCGTGCTCGGTCTGGTATTGGGGCTGGTACCCCAACCAGAATCTCTGATTTGATCGAGTCTGGTGAGTTTGCTCGATTGCTATCTACAAATAGCTCTCTACTTTGTTCATGTATACAGATGCTGATAATTGATCTTCTAGGAACTCTCAACCTGGAGGAGCTGGAGCGCATTGTCATTGATGGATCACACGTTGACCAGAAACAACGCGGCATCTTTGACATGAAGGACACGCATATGCCGCTGTTGAAGCTGCTTACTCGGCCGGAACTGCGTGAGCGCTATGGGGCGAAGAAGGGTGTGAAGATCTTGGTGTTCTGATCTAATATGCTGGTCATGGACTTTTATACTGGTGTATTATTCGAGTACATGTAAAATTGAATGGATGTATTCATACAATAGTTTAGCGTGGTCTGTATGGAGTAACTAAGTAATAAAATTGCGAACTATAAAAACCAAGGGCTTATCAGGAAGCCTATCTTCACCGCCTCCCGAGAACGGCAAAAATTAAATTTCACTTTTCTCTCCGCCCGACTTTTTTTTTTGGAGCTTGAGTCTCGTTGCGCTGCAAACTTCCCCACCTCTTTCTTGTTTCACTAAACATCCCAAGACTTTCACGCGTCTTGTTTTCTCTCCCATCCCACCATTGTCCCTCTTCACCACACACAAACCACTACAATGGGCGATAAGCGCAAGCTCGTGCAGGATGAGGTGGTCGAGCCTGAGGGCAAGAAGATGAAGAAGGAGAAGAAGGACAAGAAAGACAAGAAGGAAAAGAAGGAGAAGCGCAAGGTGCAGGAGGAGTCCGAGGTTGTCGCTCCCGCCGAAACTGCTGCCCCGGCACAGGAAGAGGTGAAGGAGAAGAAGGAAAAGAAGGACAAGAAGGACAAGTCCGAGAAGAAGGAGAAGTCCGACAAGAAGGACAAATCCGAGAAGAAGGAAAAGTCCGACAAGAAGGAGAAGTCTGACAAGAAGGAAAAGCGCAAGGCTGAGGAGCCCGCCGCCGAGCCTGCTGCTCCCTCTGAGGACGCTATGGATATTGACGTGACCCCTGCCGAGAAGGAGGACGCTGATAAGAAGGAGAAGAAGGACAAGAAGAAGGACAAGAAGGCGAAGAAGCAGAAGAAGGAGAAGACCGAGCCCGTGGCTGAGACCAAAGAAGAGCCCGCCGCTGAATCCGCAGAGCCCGAGCAGGCCCAGAAGAGCTCCCGCTTCATCTGCTTCGTCGGTAAGTGATTCCAATCCGATGGACTACCTTGAACCGAAGACACAGAATTAATCAAAAGATATCCGCACATACAGGCAACCTTCCCTACTCCGCCAACCATGAGTCCTTGAGCAAGCACTTCGAGAAGAACCCCCCGGCCACAATCCGCGTCGCAACCAAGAAAGAAGACCCCAAGAAGTGCCGCGGCTTCGCATTCATTGAGTTTGACAACTACGACCGCATGAAGACCTGCCTCAAGCTGTACCACCACTCCACCTTCGACGATGGAAAGTACCCGCCCCGACGCATGAACGTCGAGCTGACGTGAGTATTCCCTCCCCAATTGGAGAAAATGATCCCCATTTCCGAGTCCTCTCCAAGAAAGAAACCCCAATTGCAACCATAGACCTATATACTAACTATCAATTGCAGTGCTGGCGGCGGCGGCGCTAAGTCCGAACATCGCAATGCCAAGATCCAGGCCAAGAACGAGAAGCTCAACGAGGAGCGTCAGCGCCAGGCTAAGGATATCCAGAAGGACAAGAGGAAGCACGAGAAGCAGGCTGCTCCGGCTGGCGGCTCTGGTGCCAACGCTGCTGGCTTGGACGGCGCGGCTGATAACGCTGTCAGCGCTGACAACGATCAGTGGGCTGGTCTTCACCCTAGCCGCAGAGGCCGTGTTTAAATCAACAAAAGGCCGCTGGTTCACTGATAAGGTTTACGTTTAAAACGGCCTCGACTCGTTGGTGGATCGGAACAGTGTACAGCAAGGTGTCCGGAGCATCTACAGGCAGCTGGACATTTTGATAGCCATGCATTCCCGGGAGCATTAGGTTTGGCCTGCTTTTTCTTCTGTTCCAAAAAGTACTTACTTCATGTCTCTATTGCTTTGATTTTGAAGATACCAATTCATATGTTCTTTTCTGTGCTTCGTTTCCAGCAAATCTCGCCCGTAGTGGACATATATTGTAACATGAGCTTTGGGGTGGTTAACTTAAGAATGACCAGGGTATAATGTCGGAATCAAGAACATCGCAATTGAATTGGGACAGACTATGAACAAGGGCCAAGAGGGCAACAGAAAAATATCCCCAAGAAAAACGGTCAATGGATTTCATCACAAAAACAGCACTGAGAGGCCGGCGAAATTAAAAAAAAAAAGCCTCTAACTACCCAGACGCCGTATTAACTATATATTATTCATTATAGCATACGAGAACATGGGGAGACGAGTCAAGCCGAACAAACGTGCTCTACAAGATATTGCATTTGACTGCCTTCCTCCCGGATTTCGTAGCGGGACGGGGATTGAGAACGGCTCTGTGACAGACAGTTAGAAAAATCGGATTTGAACAGATAGTCTCCTCGGGAAAGAAGGTGAAAACGCACCGGATGGCTTCATCAAACACGCTCTTCAGGTTGCGCTGTGTCAGCGCCGAACATTCAAGGTACTTATGTGCGCGAATTTCCTTGGCCACAGCCAGGGCTTGTTCGTAGGAGACGGTCTCCATCTTGCGTGCGCGAAGGGCTTCCGTAGTCGCGCGATCGTCTCTCAGATCGAGCTTGGTACCGACGAGGATGATGGGGACATTGGGGGCGTGGTGTTCGATCTCAGGGAACCACTAAAAGCGGGGGGAAAGTGGTTAGTCGCATTGAAAGAGGAAGAGCCTGGCAAGATTCTCTTGTGTATATTTTTGGCGCGTTCGTACCTTCGCTTTGACGTTATCGAATGATGGTGGGCTGACGATGGAGAAACAGATCAAAAACACGTCGGTTTGCGGGTAGGATAACGGTCTCAGCCGATCGTAATCCTCTTGTCCGGCAGTATCCCACAGTCCCAGGCTGATCGGCCGGCCGTCAACCATAACACTGGCCGTGTAGTTGTCAAAGCTGTAATGGGATCAATATCCGTTCGGGATTTCCAGGTTTTCGCATTGAGGGGCAGGTGGGTACGAACACAGTAGGGATGTATTCACCGGGGAAAGCATTTGTTGTGTACGAGATGAGAAGACATGTCTAGAAGAGGGGGAATTGGATGTCAGCATCTATCGCAAGATTATAGTAGGGATGGAGTGTTGGGGGGGGGGATGTACTAACTTTGCCAACTGCACCATCACCAGTCACCACACACTATAGGTATCGTCAATTCAAGCGCATCCTTGTAGATCTCATGAGATGCCCACCTTCAGTGACTGAGTAGCCGGACCCGTCGCCATATCGCAAAAATGTAAGACCAAATCAAGCCGAGTTCCAACAGGGGCGTGTTGGCGATAAGACGATAACGGAAGGACACAATGGCAACAAGGGTATCTTCAGGAAGATTAGCTTTAGCTTCAGGGGAACAGGGAAAGAAGCTAGGAGGCTGGAGCTAGGGAAAAAGGGGGTGGGAAAGATGTGGAGACCAGAATGAGGATGAAAGGAAGAACAAAGAGAACTCACCAAAAACCAACAAAAAAAAAAGGATATTATATGGGGTTGAGAAATCAAGAAAGAGAGAGAGAGTTAGAAAGGAGAAGAGAGAAAAAAAAGGAAAGCTAGTTCCCCTAGTGCAAGTCAGTAAATATGAGAATAGATTATGAAGAGATCAAAACCCTTTAAGTCGGTCTCCACTTTATTTCTAAATATTGAAAATGTGCGTATCTAAATAGATATAGCCATGTATTCCATATATTCCATATATATAGCCATGGGATTGACTATATCAGGGCTGATATTCTCCCTTTCAAGGTACTTCGTGGATAGCATTTTCTCTCTCATCTCACAGACCTCCTATATCTCTTGGTAAGCCGTCACTAATGCACCAATCGCATGACAATTGAATCACGAGTGACGCCGGGACAATACCACGGCGTCTATTGAATATCGAATCATTATGGGAAAAACCAGGCTGCATATGCATGGGCCATCAATTATCCTATTTATATCTACCCAACCACCCCCGGATATCACCTATAGATGGGACTCGATTCAATCTGGGTCCTAAAAAAGAAACCCCAAAACAAACAGAACCTACAGTCGCGATACGCCCCTCGAACCATTCAGGAACCCACCTCCCCTGATCTCCGCCGGTTTCGTCAACAAAGTGGATAATCTTTTTGAGAAGGTTCGGAAATAGGGTGATTTGACGTGGGTCTGGATCGCCGCCTGGTTTTTATATCTATATTGTAAAGAGCCGATCAGAATCTGGTTGGAAATTGGTGGCAAAGATCCTCTTGCGAATCAGATTGTGCCGAGGCACGGCCGCCCTCTCCCATGCGGGGGAGCCCATCAGTGAGAGGCGACCTATGTTGTATATCGACACCTGAATGGTTGACTTACCTCTCAACGATCACAATCTCATTCTTGTCCTTTATTTCAAATGCGTAGTAGACCAGTGTATCTGGTTCGTGTTCTTGCACTTGTTTGATGACGTCGGTTACCAGAGTAGCTACCTGGAGGACAACATAATATGGTAAGATATTTGGACTGTCAAGGAGTATGAACCTGGGCTGACCTCTTCAAACTTCCCTGGCTTTGGAATGAAAACCGCGGTAGCGTTGATTTCGGACATCTTGACCTGTGGACCTGTCAGCCAGTAGCACCAATAGCACTAATAGAACAACGTACTTCTTTTTCAATGTAAAACTCGATGATATCCAGGTATCTTCGATCGGAGATTGGAATGATAGGAGATAAGAGTTAAGAGGTGAAGAGTTAAATATGTCAATGTATTGAATGCGGATCATATAATCCATCTAATCCACCCGGATATCGACCTCGGTCCATGGCAAGTGGGGCATGAAGTCCATGCAGATATACGGCTATTCCACTGATATATGGCTTGATTATATTGAAATATCGGCTATGACTTTATTTGTTTCTTTCATTCGATGATATATATCTAATCCCACTTGAATATAACGTTGAAAACTACACATGTATGTTTATGTGTTTTTGTTCGATATACACTTTAGCTGATAGAAAAGCAAGATGCAGTATAAAGTCCCCAATGTTTAGTAGTAACAATAACAATCAGCGGCATGATATATAGAGAGTGTTGAATGGAAGGATTTAAATCCCTACATCGTACACAATATGACAACATATTCAACTGCTTCACCTGGGCAAAGCTGAGAACTTACATAATCAATTACTGCCTCAGGCATTAGATGAATCAGCAACCGCCGAGATTCGTCTCCGGGTCCAATCTCCCACAAATCACCGTCGTCAATCAGCACACTAATTCCCCACATACCCCTTCAGCGGGCCGATTTCTCCGATTTACGGCACATGGACTCCACGAGCACTCGTTCACGTTTCGTGGGGTTTTATACCGGCTGAACGCAGGCTGATCTCGATGGATTTGGGGTATCGGAACATACTGGCACCGGATGGGCCGCATTACTCAATCCCGCCCAGCGACTTTCGGTCCCCCACACTACCCCGGCCACCCCCGGTTATCGATTTCATGCAGAGAAGTTCGGAATCTTGCGAGATGGAGAAGGCTCCGCCTGTCACAGGCAAGCGCCGAGGTGGCAGCCGGAAAGCTTGTAATGAATGTAAACAGCAAAAGGTGAGTCATATGCATATAATACTATGCAATTTTGCCCAAATCAACCCCCCCGACCGTATCGGTTTCTCCGACAATCGCGCTGATGTCTCAAACCTTGATAGCTGAGATGTGATATTGTTCAAACGCCTGCTGCGGCATGTTCGCGTTGTCGAAGGCTTGGAATAGACTGTAAAGTTGAACAGTCGTTCAAGCGTATCTCTAAGAGAAGGTAAATCTTTTTTCTTTCCCCTTTCATGTTTTTGTTTCTCTCGCGTCTTATTGACCCTATTTCACAGGCGCAATGCGGAAATGGAAAAGGAGATTGCGGATCTCCGCCGTCGCCTGGGACCTAATTCAGATCATGAGCAAGGTGCAGAGCCTCAAGAGTCTCATGGAGGCGATGAAATGTCCCATTGCTCAGAGGACGTCTTTGCTCGCCGTGACTCGGCCGCCATTGACCAACCTCGACCTGTTTCGGTGCCGGTTGAATCCCACTCGACTATAACAACTCCCTTGACTATGAAAAGGGATGGTTCTATTATATCACAGGATGAGGGCCAGTGGAGACTGGAAGATGTTTGTCTCTCTAGAGCTCGAGTTCTTCGATTATACGAACAGTATGCGCTCTTCATTTCTTTGGCCCGCTTCTCCAATTAACATCTGTATAGATACTTTACTTATTACCACCCCTTTCTTCCTCTTTTGAATCCACCCAAGCCCCCAGAGGTGTATCTCAACCGATGCCCTCTTTTGGCGTGGACGATGATCTGTGTTGCGAGTCGACGGTCTCAATATGAGCCTGGGCTCTTAAGCGCACTGTCCGGGCCATTTAGCAGGCTGCTTTGGTCAACCATTACCAGTGTCCCGCAGGACTACCGGGTGGTCAAGGCCCTTTGTGTTCTGTGTACATGGCCTCTTCCAACTACAAGCCAGCGCACAGATGCAACCTTCATGCTCAGTGGCTTGATGATGCAGATTGCTATGCAGCTTGGACTACACCGTCCAGTTCAAGCGGAAGAGTTCACAACATTCCGCATGGAAGTTCAAGGCGAAGCTCTAAAGGATCGATTACATACGTGGGTCATTTGTAACATTGTGGCTCAAAAGTGAGTATTACCCTTCGATATATGGCCGTATCACGGACTGATTCGGGATTCGGTAGTGTTGCGACTGGTTACGGCCAGCCCCCGAGCACAATATACGACTGGGCCCTTGAGCCTGCCTCTTTAAGGGACGCCGACTACCGGCTTCCCGATGACCTGGCCACTCGGTTACGTATCGAAAAGTTCTGCGATCGGGTGACCAAGGCATTATATAGTAGTAAGCCCGAGCCTGGGGAGTTCATCAGTGCCGACAAGCTCGTGGTCGTCCAGGTTTTGGAAAGTGAACTCAGAGACATGGATGTCGAGTTTGACGGGAAAATCTCCGGTAAGTTGTCGTTGTATCATTCGAATTTGACACCGCTCACACTCGCATTAAGCAATCAACACGATACATCTCCGAGCCGCAGAATTGCACTTCCGATACTTTATGTTTTTGGGGTCCACTGTACGAAGCGACGATCTGATCAAGCTTTTCCTTGCAACAACTTCCTTCCTTGGTCGAGTACTAGACCTCGAAACATCACCAGGTGAATTGATCGGCCACTCCACCAACTATATTCTTCAAATGATTGTATCGGCCGCTTTTGCTCTCATGAAGTTGTTGAAGAGCAGCTTCAGCCGACATCTCGATTTCAATCATGGCAAGCTACTGTTCAACGGTGCGATCTCGGCAATTCGCCGAATCAGTGTCATGGATCACGACCGCCCCATTCGTCTTGCAGACATCCTCGCTCAGATGTGGAATGCTACAAGTCTAGAGCCCGCCGAAGAAGATGCCCTACAGCTTAAAGTCCGCTGCCGGATGAGCATGAGCCATGTCTACGACACGGTTTGGCGTTGGCGACAGCGGTTCCGACCGGTCAAAAGCCTTGAGGAAATGCAAGGTAGGTTTTCTTTGCTTCCCCCCCTTTTAGTTATTTCTCCCAGTTTTTAACAAATGTATTTTCATAGCTGCTGCCATAGCAGCGAACCAAGATATTCTAGGTCCGGCAGGACACATGACGCGGCAACAGCAGGATAGTTCCCTGGAGGATCAATCTCTAATAATGCCAGCTCAGTTTGATGAAGGTGGAGCATTTTTCAGCGAATCTGGGTTTTCGGAAGTCTTTGATTCCCTCAATTGGGTTTTTGATGGCATTCCCGACTCTTTCGTCGCACCTCCGGTTTTATAGATACCAATTACTGCGCAATGGGCATTGCGGGTGTTTCTTTTTGTATAATGTTTGATATTTGATTCCCAGCGACGATACCAGAATAAAAGTGATTTTTACTGTATGCTACAAATGGAATAATGTACATAAAATATACAAAGTACGTACAACTATACGTACAACGACGTACGACGTACGGAGTTCACCAAGTGAAGCCCAAGATCCACTTATGTGGCTGAACCCGCCATTACGTCTTGACCCCAAGAATAAATCCAGGGACTTTATACGGAGTACAGCCTAACGACATTCCTATAGGTTCATACCTTTTCAGCCCAAGTGAAACTCCGCAAGGCAGGCTGCAGCATTCCCTGTTCCTGGACCTCATTTTGATCGGCTCCTAACCGCCTCTCCACTGATACATAAAGGTGTGGCCCGTGGGGCTTTCCGTTTCCCCCCCTCTAATTAACTCCTCCTTCTTGACATTCACACAAGTCAAGACCAATTTCCATGTCGGATCACGCCCTACACGAATCCACGGCGATACCGACGCTCGCCGATGCGCCTCCGTCGAGCGCCGGTCGCTCATCCCCTAGCCACGGGGGCGAGCCGACCCAGCCGACCCACGAGGCCATCTCAGATGAGTTGAAGGCCCGCCTGGACAAAGTTATCTACTCTGATGTGAGCAGACACAGAAAATTCCGCCGCCAGGCGCATATTAAAAAGACGCATTTATATTAACCACAAGTAGATCGGAATAACCACACTCCTGACACGGCTGAAGCAAAGCGTGGCCTCCGCCAAGGTTAGTAGTCGCAAAGGGATTCCAATGACGATCGCAAGCGCTGACACGGTATTTACTAGGATTTCTCAACATTCCTGAAAAAGCGAGGTACCCTCGAAGAAGAGCACGCTCAGGGGCTGAGAAAACTGTCCCGCGTGATCAGCGATGCGTCGCAACGCTCCGAGAACCGACAAGGTACATACAGTTCCAGCTACAAGGACATCCACCGAATCCAGGAGCGAATGGTAGAACATGGCCTCCAATTCGCCGTCTCCCTCCACCAGATGTCCGATGATCTGCACGAGCTCGCTGCCAACATCGAGCGCGGCCGCAAGCAATGGAAACAAACGGGGTTAGCGGCGGAGAAGAGGGTCGTCGATGCGGAATCGCTGGCGGAGAAGGCAAAGGCCAAGTACGAGTCATTGGCAGAGCAGTATGATCGTGTTCGCACGGGAGACAAGCAGGGTGGAAAGTTCGGTCTTAAGGGCCACAAGTCTGCAGCACAGCACGAGGAGGAATTGTTGCGCAAGGTCCAGAACGCGGATAGCGATTATGGGTCTAAGGTTCAGGCTGCTCAGGCGGCGCGCCAGGAGCTGGTGTCTACCCACCGACCGCAGGCTGTACACAATCTTCAGCAGTTGATCTCTGAGTGTGACTCGGGCTTGACCCTGCAACAGCAGAAGTTCGGTATGTGTGATTCTTTTCTATACATGTGGGTTTCATTGTTCATTGTTCATCGGCTAATGGTTTGCAGCTACTTTCAACGAGAAACTGCTTTTGGGCCAGGGTCTCTGCGTTAGCCCTTTGAAGACCGACGCATCAGGACCTAAGAGCCTTGCCGAAGTTATCCGCCAAGTTGATAACCAGAGAGATCTCCACGAGTTTATTTTAAGCCATGAAGGCAACCCGGGGGCTGTGGCTTCAGAACAGGTTAAATATGAGCGCCACCCTGTAAGTTCTACATTGTTCCTCGAATACTCCGTT